AAATCGGATGTAATAAATATTTCGGACATTCACCAAAGCGACTAATTTGATGGTCAACATTCACCGGTGAAAGTCAACAACCACCGATTTCGGTCATTCACAGTAACATGCACATCATTTACAAAATAACCTCATCAGGACGTTTATTTCATACTTCGCCTAAATATCATCCGGCGTTATATATATATATATATATAAGTTCAAAATGAAGATAAAACAGCGGAAAATTATAGACATATGTATGCAAAAGGGGTGGGGGGAAATAATAATGAAAAAAATAACAAACAACTGATTTTAAAAAAATAAATAAATAAAAAAGGATTAAATTTTTTTTTTAAAAACCGGAAAATAAAAGATGTAATCGTTTCATCAGCCCACACGATTATATCCGCAAAAAAGAGAGCTTTCTGATATTGTATCAATATAGCCAAAGCAAAATATATTAATACAATAGTGTGAGGAGCACTCAAAAAATTTTTTTTACAAAAATAACAACAAATAAAATAGAACACAATAAGTAAAAATAACACGTAAAAACAGAAAATAAAATAAAAGAAAAGAAAAAGAAAAAACAAAACAAAACAAAAGCTATAAAGCGAGTAGCGAAATCAGATGTACTTACAGGAACGGGAAATTTTTCAAGAATGATTTAGAAATATTTTCGCAACAAGATTGCTAGATTACAAAATATGAAAACAAAAGCGCAAATTGAGTGTAAATAGAGGATTTTAAAGTGCCGTTCTTACTGCATTGAAGAGATTTGCTATGCTGTGCATTGATTTGTTAGTTACCAAGGATGGGCCCGAAATGGATGTGCGCAAGGTATGTGAGGAGCAATCAAAAAAAAAATATTTACAAAAAATTTACAACAAATAAAATAGAACACATTAAGTAAGAATATCACGTAAAAACAGAAAGAAAATATAAAGAAGATACAGAATAAAACATGAAACGAAATCTATAAAGCGAGTAACGAATTCAAATGAGTTTACATGAACGGGAAATTTTTCAAGAACGATTTAAAATAGTTTCGTAACGAGATTGCCAGATTGCAAAATATGAAACCAAAATCGCAAACTCAGGTAGAAGCGTATATAGAGGGGTTTTATATTAAAGTGCGTTCTTAATGCAGTACTGAAGTGCGTTTGATTTGTTAGTTACCAAGGATGGGTCCGAAAATGCATGTGCTCAGGGTAATATTATACTGGATAATTTAAAGAAGTTGACAATTAATAATTTTAGAAAATTAACATTTATTTAAGAAAAAAAAATAGAAAAGAGAAAGAAACATGAATTTCCTGTTTTGCACATAATTTTGGCCAAGGATTTGCCCGAAATGGATTTGCACGTGGAAAAAATAATATAAATTAACAGAGAAATTTTTTAGTAAATTTATCTACTATAATATACAATTAACTGAATGATTTTATATAGAATTTAATTACTTCAGTTGGGTATCCATTGTTTTTTTTTATCAAATTTTGGAAGAGTTTGTGTATTTGTTTTTTGGAACAATAAATATTACTGCATATTCGTTTAGTTCTATTCATTTAATTAAAAATGGTATGTAAATAGTTGTTCCAAGAAACATTAGAATTCCAAGTAATTAGTTTATTTATATTAAAATCATATCTTTTATCGTCTAAATCAACAAAGCAGACATTTTCCTCTTTTATAATACCCAAATCCAAAAATTTGAAATTAATGCTATCATCATGATTACGAAGCAAGATTAATTCCTCGGGGTAAATATTATTTAATTAAATAGTATAATCTTGAAAATTAAAGATAATTAAATCATCAATAAATCTAAAAACAAATTTAATATTAAGAGAATAATTTATTTCATAATAATGCAAAAATAAATTAGCTAAGGGAGATGAATAATTAGATCCTTGTGGTATTCCATCAATTTGGAGAAAAATATATTTTCCATTGTAAAGATAATTATTAAAAAGACAAAAATTAATAGGAATTTCCCAATAATCAAAATCGCAATAAAGGATATTTTTAAAATCATAGTAATCATTTTTAAAGTAATAATGAACAGCCCATTCCCATTCTGTTAAACAAACCTAAATATAAAGAGAATCTATTTGATATCTTAATAAAAATTTATTGAGATCATTTAGAAAGTATTTTAGAATTTAATGATTGACGTATGTTAAATGGGTCTAAATTTTGTGCCATTTAACATAAATTTTTTAGTTCTAAGTTTTCTACAATATTTAAACTACCAGTAATAATATGTCTATGATGTTTTTCAATAAATTCACAATATTTCTCTTTCTCACAGTGACATTCATAATCGGATGTATAAATTTTCCCTAAATTTTTGCTAATATCGTTATAATTGAAAATAGTTCTACCAAGAGTTTTATTATAGTTATAGCTATTAATTATGTTAAAATCTCTTAATGGTAACAAATGTTTTAAATTTTCAAAATTAAAGAGAGAGAGTGAGAGAGAGAGAGAGAGAGAGAGAGAATTATTAATTATTTTTCAACTCCAGGTAATCAGTAATCATTCATTTCGGTATGAATTGTTGTTGAATGTGATATTGCATATTTGCTTATAAGGCTAAATGAACGTATTTATCGAGGCAAAAATAACATTTAAAGACGCATCTTAGGGGAGATACTATTTTTTTAATTGAACAAAATAAAGGCGATTCCTAGCAATATTTTGAATTGTATCTAACCTACATTTAATTCATACCATAAAAAAATGAAATATTCCAGAATTGAGTACCTTTGCTTTTTCATCAACAATCAAGAGTGGTCTCTTTATAAATTTTAGTACCAAAAAACATTTTAAAAGAATAGTTAAAAATCAAAAGTTAATAATCAATAAGTCGGTATTGCTAAACATTGCAAAATGAAGCTTGGAATTGAAACACATGTATCGACGCAATTAATTGAGCTAAAACATATATATTTTTTAATTAATTAGTATTTATTGCCTTTCTCGATATCTTTTTCTCGATTATTATATTAAGCAAATCATGTTTTTAGAAGTTCCACCCTTCAAAAAATTTAAGTATCATTCTGCATAATGTTGTTTTTTAGGTCAATCATAGTTGATAGTCAAAAATTATCATAATCAACAATTTCATACTTTCTTCCTCAGCGGATACGGATTTATGACTCTCAAAATGTAGAAGGTAGCCTCAACCTGGAAAATATGGTCATAATAGTTTTGTCAAGAGAGCAGTCCAAGGTTTGAACCCTTTAGTGTTAATTTCACATTTTGCGTATTTCGTCATATCTCAAGAACTTTTAAGCTATTTATAAAATTTTGCATACAGCTTAAAAATTGCTTATCCAAAGATAATTATATGCAAAATATAACTTTCAGTAACTATTTAGTATTTTTAATTACTTCATTCAATAACAGTCGAAACTTTTTGGAATGTTTAGTACACAATTTTTTACAGCATTTCAAAGAATATAATTTTAAATGGAAAATTCTAAATTTGAGAGAACTCGGTCCAACATTTCCTGAGAAATCGAATTTAAAAAATACGACTTTTTTCAAAACTTGATTTCTCAGGAACTATTCAACCGATTTCATTCAAATTTTATGTTTTACTACTATAAAATAAAATTTTTTAAAATGGTGTAAATAAGGTATACCTTAAAATTCAATATGTGTTTTACGCATAAACTAATAAAAAATATTAAATAATTCTTAAAATATGTATTTTGCATGGAATTATGTATGGATATGCGAATTTTATAAACGTGTGCGAAAACTTCTTAATTTGCTTAGTTCTTGAGATATCGTGAAATATGCAAAAAGTAAAATTAACATTAAGAAGTCCAAAATTTGGACCACTCTTCTAACCAAACTATTTCAGAGATTGCGGCTACCCCTCACATTTTGAGAGTCAGAAATTCGAATCAGTTGAACAAAAGATATTTTTATTGAGTGAAAGTACGCTTTTGTGTCTGATTTCGTAACTTAAAATATTGTCTGTGCCAACTAATTAATCAGCATATTTGAGGTCAACCCGTCGAACTTTTCAGATCGAGTCCAAGAATAGTTATCCAGGGAGGTTCATTTCTTTTTTGCACTGTACTTGTTTTTGCACTGTACTTGTTTAAATAGTATTTTTAAAGGTATTTCCTATCCAATATAAGCCATTTTGATAAAAATTACTTTAAAAAAAATGTTGTCATTGACTGCCGAACTCATTCTCTAACTTTCTCCACCACTCACTAAAAATTCCTTTCAATGACTCGCCAATAAACAAATTCACTGCTATTTATCCCCAACTTGTTGCTTTCACTAATCCACTTGAAATATACAAAGTTTATGAAATACATAGCATTTTGAAAATAGCCAAATAAACTGAAAATGGCCTCGTTTAGAATACAATTACAAACGAACGCCATGGCAATAGGAAAATATTAAATTATTATTGGTATCAAGTAATTTTTAGGCAAAGATGGGATATTCTCGACCCAGACTAATAAAGTTTTATAAAGCTATGCATAAAAATAAATTAATTAATAGATAAATTAATAAAATCCTACTTGCGAAGTAAATTACAACAATTCGGAAATCAATCGTATTGACAATTTTTTTAAAAATTGTTCACCATCAATAGCCATTCAGTAGAAATGATTAAAAACTGCCGATTTTTTTCATTAATGAAGAAGAGAGAGGGGGGGAGGGGAGGGAGAAAAAGAGTTTAAAATTTTTTCAAATATTTTTAACAAATAAATTTTTTTATATCATTTTCTATTCCTAAATAAATACATAGATATTAAAGTTCCGAAAGTGTATTTTTAGTTCAATGAAAAAATAATTATTCTCTGGGGGGATTTCAGTGATAGATGTTACTGAATAATTTTACTAATTTTTGACAAAAACGCCTCTTTTTTATTTATTTTGATTGCCGACAACGTCTGATTATTTTGTTGTTAAGAATGTGTCTCGAGTATGCAATTATGTATTCAAAGTTTTCTTACCATTTTTTTTATTTCTTTAATCAAATCAAATTTGTAAATTCTCCACTAATTTGTAATATAAAATTGGTTCGTGCACTTTCATCATCGTTATTGTACTATTATTAAGCAGAAACGTATGGTTGGAAAGTACTGCAAATAAATGATAAACGCACGAAAAAGTTGGATTACTAATATATGACTGCATAAACACTTTTTAAGTTGCTCAAGTATTTAAATTCTTGAAGAATAAAGGAAATCTTAGTTCCGTTTAGGCGTAATCGGAGCAGGCCGTTCTGATTGGTCTATCAAAGCAGACGTCACAATCAAGTATTCCAACTGCGCATGTCACGGTCTTTTCGCGAATATCAAACTCTCTTCCATCTCATTTGACATTAAATGAAGAATAACTCCAGAGATCTTACGTTCTTTCATTTACCTTCTCGTTCTATCGGTGTATGGTTAAATAATTAAGATTTGAAAATAATATTTATAATTTTGCAGATGTTTGTAGTTTGCTCGTTAGAAAATACGTCCGGCTGCCGGATTATTTCTTGGATGGTGTGGGAAAAAGAGGATTGATAACAATTTTGTATGTGTTAGTGTAAAATATTGTATTTACAACAAAACTGAAAGGATTATCAAGAACAAACTTGGAAAATTAATTTTGCATTCACTCATTAGTATTGGTTTTATGACGTAAGTTTTTTTCAGATTTATTTTGTTTTCAGAATAGTTTTTAGATTTTTTTCTCATTAAAAAATTAGTAATAAAAGAAATTTTTCTGCAAAAAATGATAAATTTATAAAAATATTTTGTAAATGTATTCATCTCAATATACTACAAAAGTTAATGTAACTGATTTATTTTTCTATAATTGTAAAATGGTAACTGAATATCATTATCATAAAATGTTACAAAGAAGATTCATCTTTCTTTGTCTGTCATCAGTACATAATGAATAAAAGTTCCATAGGTATTACCAATAATATTAATTGTTTTCACCTTCGTTCTTAATATTATTCTCTATTGTTATCTCTATAATTAAGTTTTCATTATTATTCAAAAAGTGAAGGTTAGTATTGTAGCTTTCTTATTATATTACAAAGTAATCTCACAATACTATGCAATATTTTATGATAAAGGTATTTAACCACCATTTTACACTTATTAAATAATTTTTTTTCATACTTTGCATTTATATTTCATGCAAAACTGTGTTCAATCAACGTAATCAATTAATAAAATGAACACAAAGTACTTGAAAATTCTAAAGCAATATTAAGTGTGAACGTTTTGCTATAAATAATCTCTTTGATGAAAAATATTTAACGCGTTTTTTGAGTAACTAAAAATTAAATATGAATTTATTTTAAAATGAAGCTTACGGATGAGTTTGAATTGGTAACGGAGCAAAATGATCTGATTTAAATTTTATCCAAATATAAATGAAAATTAAATCTGAGTCATTTATAGCAAATTTTAGAATCTGTTAATTAAATATTTTTTATTTAACAATTAATTTATCTCCTAAAAACAAAAATGATTTGAGACAAATAATAGTGATGATTAGTGAGTGAAGTGAGTAAGAGGGGGCGGTGGAGTATATTATAAAAATAGCAGAAATATATAATTCTTGTTATATTTGTGAAATATTAGTAATTGAATTTTTTATTTTCAAGGAGTTTTGAAAAAATATCAATCCGTTTAAAATCTGCTTTATTGGTTACCCGTCCCACTAAGTGCTGTTGTTCAGTTTTAACCAGAGAATTCCAACTATTTTTCTTAAACGTTTCTGAGAGCTTAACTCCGGCTCTCACTTATATTCGTTAAATTTTTTTACCGAACCACAGGAAAGAATTAATTAGTAAGTAAATGTTAAACATAAATTAAATATTTCTATTTTTGTATTACCTGAGATAAGAATTAAGGATATTTTAATTAAAATTTCAATTCTTATTATAATATAATAGTTACAAAATTAAAGAAAATATATTTGCACAAAATATTGAAATTGAGCAAAACCATTATAAAAAAAGAGCTGGATATCTCTAACGAGCACGTACATAAACATCTTATTAAATAAAGATTCTTTATTGAATTTTCGTGAGCAAGAAAAATATTACAAGTGATAGAATATATTCATTTGCATATCTTTCTAATTAACTTTATAACTAAGTTAGATAAACTTAGTTTTTGAATTTATTAATCGAACTTAATAATTCCTTTATTGATATCGATTTCTTTAGTAATTCCTTTATTGATATCGATTTCTTTAGTAATTCCTTTATTGATATGATTTTAAAAATTTCTGTTCTTTTATTAAATTTTTTATTGCTCAATAAAACAAAGGCTCAAATGTGAGAGCTTAAGTTTGTGATACGTTATAATTTAAACAAGATTCTTTCGAGTAATATATTTTTCATTTAATTATAAAGATCTGTCTAAATAATTTTTATAAAATCAAAAAAACTTATTTTTGACCTAACTTTCAATTAATCTGAGCCGAAGAAATATTTCTAACATTCCGACACGTGTGGCGTTGAAAAAATTAAATTGTTCAATCAGTTCATTTTTGAAATGAAAATACTGCGAAAAACCATGGTGTATATCCCTAAGAATGAATTTCATAAAAAAGAAAATTATGAATGAAAATCCACAAAGGAATTATATATTAAGTTTAAATTCTTTATTCAGATAAAATGTATAATTTAATTGATGTTGTTCTTATTCAATTGATCTCGTGAAATTCCATTAACTAAAGAATGTTTTTTCAGGCGGAAATATTCAATCAAGTAAAAGACATTTCATAGAAGAACCGTCATTAAATACAAGGTTTATGGCTTTTAAATATAAAATTATGTTCCAAATTGTTTTCCTCCAGCTTTGCAATCTTTTTTATTACGTGTTACAGCTGCAGAATCAACTGAATAATTCTTGAAATAAATGACAGGAGTTTTGTTTTGATTTTTTAAAATTGTTTCAATTAGTTTGTCGAATTTTTTTTTTCTAAATCAAGTAATGCATTTTATTCAAGTTATATTAAAGCTAGAAGAATAGGGCCGGCTCGTTTTTGACCTTTTGTGTGTCCTTAAGCAAAATAAAAAAAAAAATTAATAAAGAAATGAGTAGTATGCTTAAATACGCGAGTCATAGGTTCAAATTTCAGAGGTAACTTCTTTATTTTGAAATTCTACGGAACTTCAAAGTATCATTAATATTTTATTTCATTGAGACAAGCATATTAAATTTCTTTAGATTTTTTCGAAAGGAAAACCGAATAATGTAAATGAACGAAACAGGCACACATATTAGAGTTCCTTTGTTTTGGAAAAACCAGGTAACTGGCATTATATTTTTCTTGTGAAATTAACTCTTGATCAAATTTGGTATTCTCACTGCATTTATATTTTTATGTGTCAAATCGAGGAATACAAGAGATATCGATTAGTTTAAGAGCTTCAAAAAACTATGATTTGAACAAGAGAATATGACTTATGAATTTTTTAACTAGTTAATTAACATTCGTTTGAAAAATTTTGAAAAAATCCCGTTTGTATAATGACGTCATGTCAATTTCATTGTTGAAACCCCCAAAGTAAACATTTCTTATGACAACAACATGTATAACAATATAATATGTTACCTAGAATAAACAATTATTTTTCATTTTGCGGTTTTCAATCTGATTGGATTAAATTTTATAAACAGCATATTAGTAGCTGATGTAGTTTCCAAAGCAAGGACTGGATTGATTATTATTATTTTGAATTGTTTCAAGAAAATGGCAGTACAACAAAAGAAAAATGTCATAAAGTCAAAGTAAATTGTTTAATTAAATAAAAACCTTAAAAAACGTGAAACGAAAACTACATTAGTAACGCATATGTTGTAAAATTCTTATTTAGGTGATTCGTCATTGCATGAAATTAAAGAGTTGACGAGTGAGCAGTTCTCAATTGCATATCATAAATTTAAATTTTGAGCTCTGACAAAAATTTAGTTCAAATTTAATTCACAATCAAAGCTTTGAGAATAACGTTTATAATTCTGTCTAGTAACAGAAATAAACACAAATTATAGCAAGAAATACCTCAAAAATATTTTTTTCCAACCAAAAGAACTCATTTTTGACATTCATGCTTCTAAGTATGCCAGTATAGAACGGAAAAAACTGTTTTATCTAGTTTCCAGTCCTCTGAAAAGAAAATTAAGAGAATGAAGTTGGACGATAATATTCACAACAAATGACAGCACTAATAATTTACTTAGTGAATGATTTTTAGGAAAACTAATCTAGAGTTTTAATGCATGCCCAAATGTAAATACTGAAAATACATTAAGTAATTTATTGACTTTTAAAATAATTATATTTTCTCTTTTAAAGTGTTATGAAATCTCTCTAAAGTCTCTTTTAAAACATTTTTATGAAATGCTGCTTCAACAATGTCAATGCAGTGTGAGTTTTTTCAAAAGTTGTGAATAGTTCGAATCAAATAAATGTCGTAACCCCAATAGTTTTTTCCATAAATTGATTATTAAAAATAATTTGATGTTCTAAAAGTCATTGAAATTTTATAACAGTGTTAATTTTTCAAATAGAAAGTTATTTTACATAAGTAGTGAATATTTAGTGCATATAAAATAAGCATTAATATAATTCAAAGTAACTGAGATTAATTTTTTGAGAAACTGGTTTTGTTTGCTGTGGCTTATTTCCTATAAGGGTTTCAAACATTCATACTCTCTGTAAAATTAAAATAAATTTATGATAATGAAATCACATTTGACAAATAAACTCACCAGATCAATAAGTCTTTTAAAAACTGTAAACAATGCACTAATTGTTTTCCCCTTTTAGATACAATAAACTTATTTAAAGTAGGCTTTATGTTTTACAGAAAATTTTGTAAAATTATTTAATATTTTTCGTAATCATCTTTAATATTCCCAGACCCAGCGCCAATTGGACAATATTTGGTATAATTTTACCATTTAAAAAATTATATTTTATGATTTTTTTTTTCTGTTTGTATGTCTTTAAAAAAAGATTGTCTACATATAAATATAATTGAATTTAGCTCAGAGTTTTTAATGACAATTAAAAATTATAAATAAAATTATAATAATTAAAAATAATAAGAAAGGTAAGAAATTAAATTCAAGTAACCTTTTTGGATAGTTTTATGGCATATTATTATTTGACTCAAGTGGATTTTGTTTCATGACCCAAATGTGAAGAAATATACTTTAAAAATATCCTACAATGGGTTAAAAAATGGTAAAAATTAAAATGTTTCACTTTTACGCAATATTTAAAAATAATAAGTTTACGAATTAAAATTTATTAAAATAAATTTTCTTTTGCATTTATAATTTTTTTTTCTGATTTTCTGACATTATTTAGAGCTCTGGTCTAAAAAGCTTATCGGTGCATTACCCGGGACAAAATTTCATACACTGAACGTCATTTGGATTTTGCAAATAACTGCCTTGAAAATATAATCAATAATAATCAAATGAAAATGTGACTCCACTTAATAACATGAACAGCTATGTAGTGTTAGGGGAGTGATTTGATGAAAGGAAGAAAAAAAAGAGTTGTTACAAGAAAGAAATGAACTGAAAAATTTCAAAGAACAGTATCAGCCATGGATGACGTTATATTGGATGTTGTTTGAACAACTGCTCCTTCCATT